TCAAACAATCTAAAGCTGATAATCCCTTATTTTTCTTAGCAAGAGATACTGATATATTGTTTGCTTTGATATACGTTGATGATATAGTGATTACAGGTAACAACACCAAACGGCTACGAGAGTTTATAGACAAACTGAACCTCAACTTTGCAGTTAAAGACATGGGGAACCTGAGATAGTTTCTGGGAATTGATGTTGAAAGAAATGCTCCTGGATTGCATTTGAGGCAAACTCGATATGCTGTGGAATTGCTAAAAAGATTTGGTTAAGAGCTTAAAACCTAGCCTAACAACAAAGGCTGTTGGAAAATAAATCTCCAAAACTGAAGGGCAGACAATGAAAGATCCTGCACTATATAGAAGTGCCATAGGTGGACTCCAGTACTTAATCCACACCAGACCAGATTTAACCTTTGCCATAAATAGATTGAGTCAGTACCTTCAAACACCAACAGACGTCCATTGGAAGGCACTTAAGAGGGTATTCAGATATCTAAAGGGCACAATAAACTATGGATTGTCCATTCAAAGGTATGATAGCCTAGACATCACAGCGTTTGCAGATTCTGACTGGGCTCTTGTACATTGGAAACAATTTAGTTTCATGGTGTTCTAAGAAACAGCAAGTGGTAGCTCGATCCAGCACAGAGGCAAAATACAGAGCTTTAGCTCATTGTATAGCAGAGATAACTTGGATCAAGTCCTTGCTAAATGAGTTAGGAATTTCACAACATTCAGTTCCCATTATCTGGTGTGATAATCTAAGTGCAAGGGCCCTAGCATCTAATCCTATTTATCACGCTTGTCCTAAACATATAGAACTAGATGCACATTTTATAAGGGATAAGGTACTTGAAAATCAATTGAAAACACACTACATTCCTTCATCAAATCAGACGGCAGATTTGCTGACTAAACCTATGTCACAATCTGGATTCCAGTGGCTCAGAAACAAGCTTGGAGTGCTTGATTACACTCCACCTTGAAGGGGGAGTTAGAATTCCAGCAGATCAACAGACGACATAGAGCACAAGCATCAGTGGAATTGATCTCCTAATTTTCAGGAAATTGTATCAATGTTGTTAGCCAGCTGTCCTTGTTAGTTAGAGGTTGTTATTTGTTCAATTCCAGAATATTCCTGGCTACTAAACTCTTGTATATATGAACCGTGTACTGACTGTGATTAGCAACAATTCAATTATCAATTATCTCAATCTTTAAGTATGACACTTAATATAATAGCATCTGCAAGTGGGCTGTCTGCATCTTCTATTGTTGTATTGTAAAGGATCTCCAATCAAAGAGGATCTCGCTGCAAGGAGAAATTAAGGATGGATTGTCCTAGTTGCGACTGCCAAACCTCAAGCCAGAAAAATCCTACATCGAGTCGAACCATCAAAATAATTACGAGTGCTTTGCAGCCAAGGCTAGTAGTGTTAAATTGTTATCAGCTAAACAAACCTTAGAATCTGAACTTGATCTTTGGCATAGAAGATTAGGACATACCTCAAACCATGTGTTGAGTCAAGTCCTTAAATCATGTAATAGAGTTATTAAAGCTAATGAAATCCCTGCTTTTTGTGATTCTTGCAAATTTGGAAAATCCCATGCTCTCCTGTTTAACATCTCACTGTCACATGCTGTAAATCCTTTCGAGCTCATTCATACTAATGTTTAGGGTCCAGCCTCTTTAAACTCAACCACAAGATTTAGATACTATATAATCTTTGTGGACGATCATAGCAGATTTACGTGGATTTACCCTATGAAACATAAATCAGAAGCCTTGAATACCTTTGTTCAATTCAAAAAATTCGTAGAAAACAAGTTTCATAGGAAGATCAAATCTCTTCAGTCTGATCGGGGTGGGGAGTTCAGGAATTTCACCAAACTGGCCTGGAGTTTGGCATCAAAATTAGGCATTCCTGCCATTATACCTCGGTCCAAAATGGAAGGGCTAAACGCAAACACAGGCACATCACAGAAACCGAGCTAATTCTGTTGGCTCAGGCTAAGATGCCACTTCATTATTGGTGGGAATCTTTCAAAGCCGCCACTTACTTAATAAACAGGTTACCTACCTCTGTTTTGAACCATAAAACATCCTACCAAGCCTTGTTCAATAGAAGCTTCAATTACAAATAACTTAAAACATTTGGCTGTGCCTGTTTTCCATGTCTTAGACCCTATTAAAAGCATAAGTTTGGTTTTCACTCTCAAAAGTGCGTTTATCTTGGCTATGGTGACACCCACAAAAGTTATAAATGTCTAAGTTCTAGTGGTATGATTTATATTTCAAGACATGTTGTCTTTAATGAGCAAGAGTTTCCATTCAAAGCTGGCTTCCTAAACAAACAAGTTCAACCCTCAACCTATGACACTGAAATAAGATACCTTCCCTTCATTGATCTTAGCTATAACACCACACTCCAAAGTGCTGCTGCAACTTCTACAATGTAACCTGAAATCTCTTCTGGACCAGACCTTATTGGTGGAGATGCTGGAACTGGGGCTGAAGAAGCTGGGGTGACTAAATATCATGATAATGAGGTATGTGATGAGGTTGTAGCAGATGGTGAAACATCAGAGGCCCAACAAATTGAAACTGACACTCAAAATATAGCAAATGAAGTAATCTTGCTAGGCAAAACTATACCTCAGAATCCTAGACATCAAATGATCACCAGAAGTAAGGCTGGGATTTTCAAGCCAAAAGTTTATACAAGTGAGACAGTAAATGAACTGGCTGAAGTTGAACCGACTAATGTTGATGAAGCATTGACAAGCAACGGCTGGAGGGATGCTATGCAAGATGAGTACAATGCCCTTATGAGAAACGAGACATGGATTTTGGTTCCACCTAAATCTAGGATGAAAATCATTGGAAATAAGTGGGTTTTCAAGTTGAAATAAGATGTAAATAGAAAGGTTTCAAGGCACAAGGCTAAACTAGTGGTAAAATATTTCCTTCAAACCCCAGGAATTGATTTTAGTGAGACATTTAGCCCTATGATTAAGGCTACAACACTTAAAATCATCTTAACCTTGGCTGTATCAAGAAATTGGCAGATCAGATAGGTTGATATAAATAATGCATTTCTAAATGGCAGTTTAAATGAGGTGGTTTACATGAATCAACCACAAGGTTTTGTTGACAATGATCACCCTGGTTACGTTTGCAAACTTAAGAAGGCCCTATATGGTTTAAACCTAGGGCATGGCATGACAAGCTGAAACAGACGTTATTGTAGTTGGATTTCAAACAATCTAAAGCTGATAATTCCTTATTTTTCTTAGCAAGAGATACTGATATATTGTTTGCTTTGATGTATGTTGATGATATAGTGATTACAGGTAACAACACCAAACGGCTACGAAAGTTTATAGACAAACTGAACCTCAACTTTGCACTTAAAGACATGGGGAACCTGAGATAGTTTCTGGGAATTTAAGTTGAATGAAATGCTGCTGGATTGCATTTGAGGCAAACTCGATATGCTGTGGAATTGCTAAAAAGATTTGGTTATGAGAGCTTAAAACCTAGCCTAACACCAATGGCTGTTGGAAAACAAATCTCCAAAACTGAAGGGCGGACAATGAAAGATCCTACACTATATAGAAGTGCCATAGGTGGACTCCAGTACTTAATCCACACCAGACCAGATTTAACCTTTGCCATAAATAGATTGAGTCAGTACCTTCAAACACCAACAGACATCCATTAGAAGGCACTTAAGAGGGTATTCAGATACCTAAAGGGCACAATAAACTATGGATTGTCCATTCAAAGGAATGATAGCCTAGACATCACATCGTTTGCATATTCTGACTGGGCCTCTTGTACATTGGAAAAAATTTAGTTTCATGGTGTTCTAAGAAACAGCAGGTGGTAGCTCGATCCAGCACAGAGGCAGAATACAGAGCTTTAGCTCATTGTACGGCAGAGATAACTTGGATCAAGTCCTTGCTAAATGAGTTAGGAATTTCACAACATTCAGTTCCCATTATCTGGTGTGATAATCTAAGTGCAAGGGCCCTAGCATCTAATCCTGTTTACCAAGCTCGTCCTAAACATATAGAACTAGATGCACATTTTATAAAGGATAAGGTACTTGAAAATCAGTTGAAAATACACTATATTCCTTCATCAGATCAAACGACAGATTTGCTGACTAAACCTATGTCACAATCTAGATTCCAATGGCTCAGAGACAAGCTTGGAGTGCTTGATTACACTCTACCTTGAGGGAGGAGTTAGAATTCATCAGCTCCAGCAGATCAACAGACGACATAGAGCACAGGCATCAGTGGAATTGATCTCCTAATTTTCAGGAAATTGTATCAATGTTGTTAGCCAGCTGTCCTTGTTAGTTAGAGGTTGTTATTTGTTCAATTCCAGAATATTCCTGGCTACGAAACTCTTGTATATATGAACCGTGTACTGACCGTCATTAGCAACAATTCAATTATCAATTATCTCAATCTTTAAGTATGACACTTAATATAATAGCATCTTGTTCACCCGACAGACGTAGAAGATACCCTTCAAAACTTTTCATTGGTCACGAGTCACCGTTTTAAGCAAACAATGAAAACAATTGTTTCACCATTGGTCTGGACCAGAAAAGACTCACCAGAATTTTCCCCTTTTCTACATTACATCCACTCGATTAAAAAAGGAATGCGTTTATTTAGTTAAATTATATCTTTAAATTATCCTAACCTGTATGACGGATTATTCATTTTCACTAAGAGCCTACCACGTGGAAATTCATTAAAATTGATTAGTGGCAATACTTAATTTAATATTGATGTCTAATGAATCGACTGATCGAAAAATTTAATTGTTTATTAAAAGAAGACACACGTGTACATGTAATTTCATTTTATCTTCAACATTATACTACTTATATTACAGTTCTATTCCCCCACAATGTAGATTGCAACTATCAATTTTATATATGTATAGCAAACTCGATATTCCCAGCCCAGATTTCTTTTTCATAGCTTGTTGAGGTCATTTTCCCTCACAAAGAGCCCATGGAAGCCATAAGGTACCCTCCTTGGCAGCTTAACAGCAGCCACAATATCAAGATTTGGGGACTTGGCATCCATAACCAAGAATCTTGATTCTCCAGTCTTCTCATTATGCACATAACTCACCACATAACCATCATCTTCATCTGCATTTGGATTGTTAGGCTCTTTTGCCACAAAAAATGGTTCGCCACCAAAGCAACCTTCTCCGTAAAGCCGATTCGCCACGATGCAGTCGCAACGATCGCAATCCGATACCGATACGTCGAGCTTCACCACCCCCGATATTTTCGGCATTGGATCTCCTACTGCTGCATACACATACCTATATATAGACATGAAGAGAAAAATCCTTAGAACAATATGTTGTTATATCTTAATCCGATTTTTTTATATTCATCTTGAATTTTCGAATTGTAGTTACTCTTTCTTTTCTTGTTTGTTCATTAATTTTATGCAATACATCCTTTAATTTAGATGCAGTAATTTTTAACATTAGTTTTATGGATGTTCGAGCTTAGGAAAGCAGAAGGTTACATGTTCAAATTTTTGGGAGATAACTAGTAGTCACCAAAGTTCATTTTGTTTCAAGTTGGTCAGTATATCTTCACTTCATTTCAATTTGATCATACTAGTATATCACATCTTGTTAGGGATGTCAACGAATCGAGCCGAAATTCGAAGTTCGAGCTCAGTTCGAGTAAAAATGGTTGGGCTTTTTTGGCCCGAGCTGAGCCGAGCTTTTGCTGGGCCAATATATATATATATATTATAATGAAAAGAGCATGATGCCTACTATTGCTGCTGTCTGCTACAAGTAGCAACTGCTGCATGTATACAAATTTATATTTTTTTAAAAATTTGCACACGGGCCGAAAATAGCTCGTGTGGCTCGTTGAGACACAAGGGCTGGCTCAGGCTTAAGCCGACGCTCTAAAATTGGGCTCGATAAAATTGAGCCGCAAGCCAGGCCGGCTCAGGCTTTTCCAGAACCAAGCCACAGGTAGTTCAAGTCGGCGAGCCAAAATGACACCCTTACATTTTATTAGTCAAAATAACATGCATAGATAGAATGACCTAATTCTAGAAAATATTTAAGTTGGGTGACCAACATTAAATTTCACTAAAGGTTCAATCACCAGCCATTTTTTTAACCCAATTTTTTCTATAAGAACTCTACCTTTGATTTTTATTTTTCTTTTTTCTTTTTCAACTACTTTACTACCTCGTCCAACTTGTCAAAAAATCGTCAAGTAGAGACAAGTTCACGAATTGGTCAAGTAGAGCATTCAACTCATTGAATAGAACAACTTCACTCGCTACTTCTATTAAAAATTCTTTTTTAATAAGAGGTAGTTTATCTATTTTTAAGTTAAAAAGGTTAGTTGTCTTGAAGATTAACTCATCGAATAATACGTACTTGTTTTTCTTTCCAACATAAGCTGGATTGATCACAGCAAAGTCAAGATTTCTTGTTGAAACTGGATGCCTGGACACCATGCCTGTCTTGAGGTCAATCTTCACCTTTTCTACTGATGCATGAATTAAATCCATACGCTCCAACGTGTGTTCAACTGACAATATATTTGGTGCCACCAATACTATTGTATCACCATCATCTTCATCCCAACCGTTGATTGCGTGTATTATATTGAATCCAGGCACATCAAACCACTTCATTTCAGATTCATCCTTAGCATATCTCGGAATTACTCCGAGGCGGGGCACTTTGCCGGGATTTGCCCCGACAGGAGATCCTCCGGCCATCATCTCCATAGGGTTCATTCCAATTTGTATTTCGGGGAATATTGCGTATTTTTTTGTGATGGCAAAGTCGTGAAGAAATGAGGGGCTTGTCATGGAAAAGATTGGTACGTCGGGTTGTTTTGTTCCGTCGGCATTGAATCGGAAAAATGTTAAGAATGGAGGCATTGGGCCATATCGAAAGGCGAAGGCCTCCTTGGTGTCGAGATCAATTTTAGGATGTGCCGTCATGCTCATGAAAAGCTTACCTGTTGAAAACAAAATTTAAATAAATGAAATTTTTCCTATGTAATAAGAGTAATGTTATTCAAATTCATGTCTACGTGGCATTAGCGTCACATAAACTGAAGTTATAACTCCAATGGAACTAAATAATATTATTAAAGAAGATGGATAATTTATCAAAATTATTCACATATCTAAATTTTGATGAAAAAATGAATCCGACATGAATATGAGCGGAGCTTGGAAGGCGAAATCTAAATGAAAATAAATATGCTTAAAATAAATTAGCTTTGAGTTTAGATGAATCGATGTCACAACAAATAAAGTTCCTTAAATAAGTCTCCAATCACTTATGAGAACTTCCGTATATGTAACCCTTTTGATGAAAAAGTGAATCTGACTCAATTATTAAAAAAAAACTATGTCATGCTTTTCATGAAAAACAAAAAGTGAGTCCTATTCAATGCAAGAAAAATATAATTTGGATCGTATTTCTCAACCCACCAAATTAATGATTTTTTTGACTGTTTTTCAAAATTTCTTCCAATTTTAACCTCTAAAATAATTAGTTTAAAAGACAACAATTCAATTATACATAAAAAAAAATTCTTATAAGTAAAAAATAAAATAAATAAAAAATTTACTTGTAAGCAAAAACATACTTTATAACTAAAAAACTTACTTTTAACTAAAATTTCACTTACATGGGGAAGAAAAAAAGTCACTTTTATGTCAAAATTGATTATAAAGTGAAAAATACTACAAATAAGACAAAAATACTCACTATTAAATTTTAAAAAGTAAAGCTTATAAGTATAAAAGTAACTTATAATTATAAAATTTATTTGTAAGTAATTAAAAATTATTTCTATGTAAATATTTTACTTTAAAAGTTAAAAACTAACTTAAATGTATAAAATTACATAGAACTGTTTGAGCCTCATTTTTTTCAATAAGAACGCATTTTGGAATAGTGGATTGATGGATAATATATGGTTGAAAAATAAGGAAGAAATTTTGGTTTGCGTTTAATATTATTTTATTGAAAAATGTGTAATTGAAAAGAAGAGATAGAAATATATTTTGAAAATAATGGGGATCAAATAAGGCAAAATATCACTTATGAATAAAAAATATTTATACAAGAAATTAAAAAGTGAACATTTTAAGTGACCTATACATTTTAATTCATATTATTTACACATACTTGTTTATATATGTCTACATGTAATGTTTTTTCTTTTAAAAAAATTTAAGATCAATGAATAATATCCTCTCAAACATGGATTGAAACATTTTAAATATCGCTATAAAAAGTAAAAACTACTCAAACTCTCGTCATCTCTCAAAATCGATACTTAAAAAAATAAAAAAATTGAAGACTCTGATGCCCTGAAACTTCCAATCAGAAGGTGATCGAACGTACCATCAAAATCGTTTCGACCCTCGGTAAAAATATCCCCATTTTCAGCCACTTTCACTTCATATGGAAGATCAGATTCGCCTAAAGCATATAGCTTTCCACCAATAAGTGCCAAGCTGGTGTTTGCAAGGCCAATTCCATTGACAGGATTGAATTGCCCAGCGACCATTCGAGCAGCAGCAAGTGCACCGCGCGCGGCGGAAGCCGTGAGGCCATTGAACCCTGAAAACACATTAGGAACAACTGAAAACCCATTTTTGTTTTCAACTGTGTACTTATAGGTCTTGACATATCGGCTACAAAGAGTAGCTTTTCCGTCAGAAATTCTTATCGAATGCAGCATCCCATCCCCGTCGAATAGATGGTAAGGGCCGCGTGGAAGGAATTGAGGATTCGGGCCATTGCGGATGTATGCACCATTAAGGCTAGTAGGAAGAGAGCCTTCCACTACTTGACATAGCGTGGGAGGAAGCTCGTCCACCGGTGCAAAGTTGTCCGAAAGAACATACCTTGGATCGACTGAGGGACGAAGAGGAGGGTCAACAAAAGTGTTTATGAAACCATCAATAACGTTGAAGATAGTTGTTGGCAATGATAACGGCTCTGTTGGCCTTTTACGAGTATTTGTTTGTTGGACTGTTGGTGTTGGTGTTGGTGTTGGTGGAGTTTGTTTCTTTAGTGGCTGAGGTGCAGCCCTTCTGCTGGTGGTGGTGGTGGTGGTGGAGCTGCTGGTTTTTGGTTTGTCTTCAATTCTAACTGATGAAATATTTAGAGAATTGGGTTGAGGGAGGGGTGATGTTGGGGGTGGTGACAAGGGGATCGGAGAAAGAATGTATTTGAAATGTAATTTAGGAAGAAAAGTGGAAGAAAGTGTGTCCATTGTTTTTCTTCTTGTTTAGCTTGCAAGCAAGAAAGAACAATTGATCATAAAGGAAAGGTGAAGAATCTAATAATGCACAAATTGAAGGTCCCATAGGAGGAGTACTTATGCAGAATAGCCGCATAGGGATATTGGTGAGAAAGGAGACAATTCGTACAAATTTTGTGATTCAAATTATTCACTTTTGTTTCCTTTTTTCCTTTTTTTTTTTTTTT